AAATTTCAAGAAATCGTTAATCCATCGGAACAAGAGTCGCTAACTCGCGATTTCATAGTCGTTAAATCAAACCCTAGCTGTATTAAAATTGCGCATTTAGCGATGTCTTAATATTCTCTCAATTAGCATCTTACGTTTATCGATAACGATTAGATTTGATTACAAGGATCATAAAATCACGTGATCGACTCTTTTTTTGCTGCCTAATTTTCTAAATTCCGAATTTTCAATGTACATTACGTCATCCGAAATCTAGTATTTGATTGGCTGATGACTGAACAAATTTTATAATTTAGCCTGGAATTATAAAAGATCTAGCATTAATTTTTGGTTGAAGATCAAAAAATTTATAAAAGATCATCAAAATCATAGCATTGATCATTCCGAATTATGAATATTTATTAATAAAAATACATGATTTCAAACCTTTAAAAATTATACAAACAAAAAAGTAGGCCATAAAAGTGATAAAGCTTGACCTAATCTATTATTTTTAGGGTTTAGTTTGTTAATGAGTATACGTAGTGCACCATACGTAGTAATACAAGTTTATTGACTATTGGTTCCTTGGATTCAGAATAAATACATGCGAGATTAGTTATGTACGTACTTATCAGTTTTAGCATACAGTAATATAAAAGATCTTTTTAGTTTTGGTTCATATTCTGAATTCATCAAGTTTATAAATCAGAAAAATTAATGATTTTAAAAACCTTTTTTTATTGATCATATTTGTGTTTAAACATGTGAATAGTACACTTATCAAAACGATGATATTTGACTTTGAGTGTAATTGGCTCTAGCTATGTAATATATCAAACTGTACGTATGAAATGGAAAAATAATAATTTCAAACCACTTCCGATGTATTAAGACTGTGATTCTATATTGTTGTAACTGGCGAGCCTTGTTTTTAGTGAAAAATTCATTTATATCGTTTTAAATTCATCTAAATTCTTTTACTATAACATTTCAAAGATCTATTAACGCTAATAACCAGTTCGCAACTCCTTAACACGGTAAATATTTTCTTTATTGTATAATTTATTTAACATCAAAGATCGATCTTTAGACTTATATACAAATATGTATATATTTTTTTGAAGAGTTATGGGCTAGAGATGCAATTCCATGGTTCAGTCTGGTGTGTGAGATAGCTGGTGCATTAACGATTTGGACTCAATGTCTAAACACGTATCTTTTCCTTACAATATCTGTTTCTACCTATCTTCGAAATTAGATTTTACATTAATTCAATGAGTTAAAAAATTATATTCATGATTTAATGCTTTTTATAATTGCTCCTATTTAAACCAGTTTGTCAAAAAAACGCGGCAAATACGATTACAAACTTTTCCTAATTTTCCATTTTGGCCGTGCTAACGTCTATCTTAGTTCTCTTACTAGCTCTCGATAAAGGATATGGACCACAAAGATGGTGGTATGTAAATACGTACCGATCTCGCATGATTTGCAAAATCCTTGAAATCTTAAGATTTTCATTGCTTTCGGTGAAGAAGGTGTGTTTCGAACAATAACGCCAGACTTGTCGGAATTATTGCAGTCGTCATTCAAGCTTTGGTAATAGGTTTAACAGGATTTGCATATTTTCGTATTTCAATGTCGCTAGCGCATTATCGTCGACAATTAGCCGAATCACTGAATAGTTATCACTCATACAGCAGATTTGAGTATTGGGTCGTAAGAAACATCGCACAATATATTTTGATTCTTTTAATTTTCAGTTGCCCATTGGCGTGTTTTTTATGGCACGCATACATATATGCTCGCACTTGCAGGTCAGTAAGATATACGAAGTTAGCAATAATATTATTCATGTCTCAAATTTGATATTTTTTACTTTATATAAACAACCAGGTGGTTTTGGCGGAATAGGAAATGAAGGGTTTTCAGATAACGATAAATCTACGTTAAATCTTAATTCTCGAATCTCGCATTACAGGAGATAGAAATTACGTCCGTAAAGCTCAAATCATCTTTAATAAATGATCACGATTAAAAAACACACCAGTATTTTCTTTGACACTTTTTACATGTGCAAAATTTTATTCCCTTTTATACTAACAATGAATTATTAAGATTGAGTTGATTGTTAATTTTTCAAAAGAATAGAATAGTATTGGCAGTCTTAATGGCATAGGAAGTGTTTCGAGATTATTACTTTTCCATTTCATAATATGTATGTTCGATATATTACATATCCGGAGCCAATTAAAATTAAAAAGACATAACCACATGTAAAAACTATAGAAAGTACGGCCTTTTACACCATTATATGGTCTCGTTTGAGACCAAGTTGATGGGGACATAGGTAGTCGTACTAGCTTTCTCCGAGGTAGTCGTAGGTGTAGTATTAATGGCGGAATTACTACCGTTTTGGATGGTAAGTGTCCTATAATAAAAAGAAGTGGTAATTTATAAACTTGATGAATTCAGAATATTAAAACCAAAATTAACAATTTTTTTAATTCAAATACTGTCCTTTCAATAGCTGGTTCAATCTCTAATAAGTAAACTCTTGCAAGAAAAAATGCGCCAATTGTTATTCGCTTTTTCATATAATTAAGACCCTACTAATATTTAAAGCATAAATTTCAGCATCGAAAAACTGGAATCAAATTCCACAAATTTATCTATATAAATTTCTAAAATACAAAAGATTATAAAAAAGCAGATGGCATATATGCTAAAAGTGGAATACCCTTTTTTAAAATGCATGTATTCAATGAGCTTTCAGAAGTAATTTTGACGATTTATAAGAATTAAAACAATCAATTCTAATACGGTGTTTATTATTCCACCGAAACTCATTTCTGTTTTTATAAAAAAGCATTAACGTTAGTGAAAAGATTTTCACTAAATTCTTTGCTCATGACGATGACCGCAATTTCTTCTAAATCCAAATAAAGTCGAAGTATAACGATAACGATAATTTAAAGTTTACTGGTGACTGTAACACGAATGACCATTTATCCAATCGTTGACCTGATTCTTAACACGATGGCTAGCAAATGCACGAAACGATAGCGATAAGACTATTGGATATAATTTATTGAAAAAAATTGGACTTAATGGTCTTTAGATTGATACACCAATACATGTAGTTGTAGAGCAATTCGCTAATTAAAGATTAGAAACTACTGTTTATTATTTTATGTTTATTATTTATGTGCCCATTGTTTTTATTTATGGAATAATGTATAATCGTGGGCATTTTACTGGTTTCAATGAAAGTTTGCAAAATATGTCGCACAAAATTGTCAAGCTTAATTTGAAAAGCATAGAGTGCTCAATTAAAAATACTACAAAACATAAGCTCTATTTAGGAAGGAGCGTTGTTATCTGAGCATTACATATAATAAAGCTATATCGATACGTTTGAACGAATTAATTCGAGGTTACACGATATGCGGAATTTTGAATATCCAGAAAAGATATGATATCGATATAATACAGAAATTTCGGAAAATGCAATTATTAATAAAAAAAAATAGCGTTAAGCCTATAATCAATGCTTGAGAGACGGTTGTAATTATTCAAGAATTCTTTGCAGTTCAACTTTTTTATCAAAAGAATTCTGGAGCAATTCATTCTTCCCAACAAAAGAATCTGGAACCATTCATCTTGTTTATCAAATCATGGAACATATCACAATGGAACATATTACAATGCAACATAAAATATAACGTTGACACGCGCTTAGACCACGAGTCCAAACCAATTACACAGTGAAAGTCGATCCAACGGACCCCTGCCATGTTGTCCGGTAAATCGACGGGTCCACTATAGCAGACAAAATTTATATAATGCTATTTATAGCTGACTCTGAAAAGTAATCCGTTATAGATCGAATCCGATATATCGATCGTCCGTTATATCGACTTTCACTGTGTATCTCACACTTGATACAATAATTATAATAGAAAAAAAGTTGAGATCGGAACAAAAACAATTTTCAAGCAAATCAAAAGGAATTTTTATTAAATCAAATCGGGAGCTTTGCTACCTGAGATAAGATGATTTAATAAATCACATCAACATTATCTACAAATTTTATATAGATTATTCAAAAAATTTTTTGTTGAATTGCAAAAAATCTTCTACAGTCGACTCCCCTTAAATGCAACCTCCCTAAATGCACACGCAATATGTACCCTCTCTAAATGCACGCTCTTACTCAGTTCCAAGATTATAAGACCTACTCTCTATAGAGGCAATCTCTGATTAGTCATATGGTCCCAGCAAATTGCATTTAGAGAGAGTTGACTGTATTTAGCAAATCTGTGCAATTATTCTTTTATGAAAATATGCAAAAAAAATCTAGTTTGATATTTTGGCGTTCATTTGGGAATAACATCTTTAGCTTTTAAAATCCACATATCGATATTGATGTGATGTGATCCAACTTTAACTAGATCATCTAATGTGTTAGCGTTAGATAATTTTGCGATCGCTGATCTTGTCCGTATATATCATCAGCGTTAGTCCAATATTCAAATTAATTCGACTGGATCATTCCAATTGGCATTACAAATCATTATTATTAAACGTATAATAGTGTAACGCAAAGTTCTAAGGAAAAAACTTAAATTTTAAACCGTCACGAAAAAAAATCTATTTGCATTTGTTACGTAATTATCATTGTCCCATTCAACTTGCATTGCATTACATTGCGTTCGTGTTACGAAATCTGACAGATCCAGATCAATTCGGATCGAATTGATGTAAAGTATTTTTTTACATATTTATATATATAAAATATTCCCACGCTTAAAAAATCACTTTACTGACGATAACGATAAGTTAACTACGTATACTGTGAAATCAATCAGCGTGTAATAATGATATAATTTTTCGGTCGTGAAAATGATCAGTTATCATGACATCACGACGCCTGCTGCAAGTCTATATAATAAGGCCTTATTCTAGTCAACGACACATTAATCTTCAACTACTACAAAACAACTTAACAATCCAATATGGCTAGTCTCCAGACCAAAGGTGAAATTAAAGTTAAGAAAGAAGACCTCAAAGTTGGTCAAGAGGTCATTTACCATCCAGTCGGAATGGCAGTGCAAACAACTAAAGGAATCATCAAAGAAATTATTACTGAATCGGAGGTAAAGAAGATGAATCTTACTGTTTCTGTTTAAAGATATAAATATTTATGGACGTTTCGTTTGATAAAATTTAACAGATTGCAGGTGAAACCCACAAGACTATCAAGGCGAGTCCTGAACACCCTCGAATCTTGATTGAAAACTTGCATACTCACAAGGTATTTGAATATTTGTATTTGCGCTCGTGTTGGTTGATGCTCATTATTTTTTCATTCTTTATTCACATATATAAAAGGAAACCGGTATGTTACCCTTTTAATATTGTTTTCTTAATTCAATCGAATAATCTTCAGTCATAAACTAAAACAGCTGTTTCTTAAACAAATCGAAATACGTTAAATCATATAAAAAATGACAACGGCAACGATAAATAGCCTACAAACTCGAAAATATCGAATCGATCGTCGACGACGGAGAAGGTAAGGGCAACGGCGAGGGTAAGGGTGAGGGCGAAGATAACAATTGAGAAGAATATTTCATCTATCATCATCACCAATCCGGTTATTAGTAATGTTATTACTCTGTATGTTAAATTGCAATAAAAATTTTAATCTTACTTTATTCACAATAAATAGGACGTCGTCTTAAAAGCCAAAAACATGAAACCCATCGTGCAGCTCATGACAAAGGCCATACCAAGATTAGTGATATCAAAGTTGGTCAATATGTCATTTATCATCCGATTGGATCCACGCAGCAAACTGCTGAAGGACTTGTAAAGGAGATCATCACCGCAGACGAGGTAGTATCCTGCTACTCGTTTATTTTTTCTTATGCTTGAATTTTAACTGAATAGAAATTAGGTTACTGGTCAAGCACAAAGGACAGTTCACGCGACTCCTGAACATCCACGTATCTTGATTGAGAACTTGCATACTCAAAAGGTATTTAACGTTCTTCTTTATATCCATGTGTTACACTTTAATTTATCCGTTTAAATGCGTTCCACTATATCAAAAATACACAGGAAACTGGTAAGTGTGACCAAAATTTTTTATCACAACGGTTATTTGCACGTTTAATTTTAATTTTAATAATTTTTAGCCTATAAACCCGAAAGTATCGAACGTGTCATCACCGAGGAAGAAGCCAAAAAATTGGCTAGCACTCGTGCGCAAAGTCGAAGTCCTAATAGGCAAAGTCAAATTCCTAATAAGCAGGGTAAACGTGGTCGTGGTAAAAAGGAAGAGAAAGAACTTGAAGAAGATGATGATAAATGATTCCTACAAATCCAATATATTTGATTCTTGTGATGTTTTGCTCATTACTACAATTGTCAGTAGATATAATGTAATACCGAAATTGAATATTTGAACATCAATAATAGACTAATCAATCAATCGATGATAACAGACCACTTAGCAGTTTCTTTCGCGACGGATTAAATTTTAAAAAATCTTCCGAAGAAGGATGAAATTTTAATTACAATACCAATTTAAGAATAACGATATGAATCGGCTCACGTTTCAAGTACTCGAATGTTGGTTGGTTAATCGGTTTTCAAATAAAACACTGAGGATTCTAAGAATTGATTTCCTCGATTTTTAAATTAATCGATTCGAATCCCATCTCTAATTCTAAGAATTGATTTCCTCGATTTTCAGATCGATTTTAAATTAATCGATTTGAATCCCATCTCTAATTCATTTGATATATATCAATATATATATATATATCCCATTCCTGAAAACATCAATCGATATAGTGATCACATGACCATTATAATTTTTTCAACCTCACCATCTTTATCGGAGGCAGTAGCTTTCCTCGAATAAAAACTTTTGGCTTGGACATTATTAATGTAAATTTACATTAATACTTCGATATACGTACACTATAATTTAAAATACACCAAGTCAATTTTATTTGTGCATTGAAACTTTATTTATCTATCAACACACGCCAAGAAAAAATCCACGTGTAAATTTTAACTTGTTACACAAGATCAAAGCAAGTTGTATAAAATTTTGTATAGTAACATTAACAATAACAATAACAATAACAATAGTAGTATTACAATAATGCAGATGCGGTTTTAATTAACTTTCGGTGATTGGTTAATAGGAAACAAAATCAGACATCTTGTTCAATTTGTTTGGGGTTTAGTCGTTAATAAAACTGCAGTCCGTTAGACTTGATTCCGCATTCCTTTTTATTCACTTCACCTTTTTCCATTCCTCTCTTTACCGCTCTTTCATGTAATTCATTCCTTTAATGGAAAAGATATCTTCAATCATTTATAATAAATAACACATTCTTCCGTTGCATACTCAATACAAATAGTAATAAATAAAAATTAAATAGAATTTTTACTTTTACATGCACAATCTTTATTCTACAACTTAAATCAATTAAAATGAGTTCCAGAGACAACACTCAAGAATGGATTGGACTTGGACTCCTAATGTCCGCTTTATTCTTGACAACATATGCTCTTGCACGAATAATAATCAAACGAACAAAAGCATCGAAATTTTATTTGTTCCCCGTGATTAACGCTTTAATTATAATCACTGAAATCAACACACTGACGAGGATTTTCGTCCTCGTCGTATTTAGCGATGATAGCACGAAAGCGCTCATGATCACAAAAACAATCAATGACTTCTTTTATCTCCTGGCGAAACCGATTATTCTTTATTTGGCGTATTTAAGATGTAAATCAGTTTTTAAGCTGTGGAATAAATGGCCTTGGCTACATTATCTCTTCTTCCTTGCACGAATCGCGCAAATCTTTTCCGTATTCGTCGGTGACATCATTTATATCGAAAAATGCAATTTTGATATGGCCAATCCACGTTGCAATCACCTCGCAATACTAAAGACGATTCGAGATGCGTATGCCCCAGTTCCAAGGGTATACTATATGATTTCAGAAACGATTTTTTTCGTGATTCTCTTTAAAAGTCTACGGAAATTCGGTGCTACAAAAGCAGAACAAAAAATCATGAAAGAACGACGTTTCCAAGCAGTAGTTTTCACAATCGATCTAACTCTAATTCTCGGAATGATACTATATAGAATCTTGAATATTTTCAAATCTGTGCCCACTTATGATTACGCAGACGAATTCTGTACTGCATTCACAGTATACAACATGACTCGGTTCGGGCTCACTCTGCCGAATCTGTTCAAAAATGCACATGGTGGTGCATTTACTCATAATTCAAAATCGCAAACTACACCACCCACACCGACATCTCCTGATTTACTAATTACTCATCCAGGCAAAAAGTATTCTAAAGATAGCGGAAATGGAAGCATGCACGACTATGAAAGTTCTGATAATTATGGTGCGAAAATTCAAGTGACCGTTGAAAAAGAATATCGTATGATTTGAATTTTTAGACTTCGAGTATACATACACATATTCCAACATCGCTTACAATATACGCGGCGCGTGTTCAACATACTATTATATTATATTTTACCGGTTTCATATTCATGTATTTTAAAATTTATCCATATAATTTTTTATTCATTCCCATGTATTTTTAAAATCTATACATATAACTTTATTTATTCTTAGTATTAGAATTGTCACTATATAACGATAAGTCCGGTCATTTTGACTTATTAGTGATCCAATGGCGCAGTTTTTTTATAAGCCCTAGCATTCATTCACTTAGAATACACACATATATATATATATATGTACATACAAACGTACTTTCGAAAGTTTCTCGTCATTCCCACTTTCCCTAAAACTCCACATTTTTTAAATTAGAACATTTAATTTATTCTTTTGAGAAGATAATTCAGCGTACATGACAGGATACTTGTCGAAATATTTTTTAATATTATCTCGATATCGATATCAATATCGATATCGCATGCATTCAGCATATGACCTTTAACTATTTGATCTATCTAACGCTAAGTTAACGTTAACGTCAAATAATGATGCAATAACTACAAAAATGCATAACGATAATAATAACGATAAATTTCATTATAAGTTATATATACACAAAGTCCCTATCACTATTATCAAAACACGAAAACTTCCGAAAATGTAAAAATGCAAGTATTTTATATACAAAAATAGTCAACAGCAATACAAAAAACACGTACTTTTCACTAGATTTTTGAGTTATTGAAGTTGAAAAACGTCCGAATATTCTGTTAACATAAATATATGGAATATAGATATAATAGATATAAAGACAACTCGATAAACCGAAGTTGTCGTGACTATTAGTAGAAAATCGAAGCGGACTTGTAACTGTTCCTTGGAACCAATTTCGGTTTATCCAAGGGTTGATTAATGCTTCGAAGTATAAACGAAATTACATACAGTAATCAATAAAAAAATGAATAAATATATCAAAAAAATCATTTTCAGGTAGCAGTTTAAGAATTAGTACGCCCTAAAAAACATCGTATATGCTTTTCTTTGGCGAATGTTTTAATAGCATATAATGCTGCTTGTGACATCTAATGTAAAAAAAAAAAACGAGTTAATAAATGGCAGCAATACAATATATAGTAATAAGCATAAAAAATTAAGAAACTTTACCAAACTTATAGCGTCTTCACTAACATTTTCAATAGTGTCACATGACCTATGATAACAAGGATCAAATGGCGCGTTTGCAAAACCTCTAAATGTATGTCGTTGTTCTTCGGATTTTATTTCACCAGCACCAGTCAATATGCCGCCTACAAGATTATACTATTATTGAGATATCTACTATATTAAATAAATTTGATAATGCATACCAGAAGGAATTCCATGTTCAATAAATGGTAAAAAGTCACTGCCTGCCACCATATCGGTAAGTTCATACGGTTCTCGAATTGCCTTGAAGAAACTTTGAAACGTCGTCTGAATTACGATGGACGCGTTTCTCACGTCTTCTGGCGCATCTTCTCCACGATGAATCTAGCGCAATAGAAACAAAATTAATTTGGAAGAAAATACGCAGTATTTCAAATAAGTTTACTCCTTACAAATGGCACGAAGTTAGGACTTCCCAACATATCAAAGTTCAAATTCATTGCGATATTTTCACTTTCGCCGCTCATAACCGCCTCTTGTACAAAATAACGTGATCCCAGTAATCCAATTTCTTCTGCACCCCACCAGGCGAATACTAGATGATTCTCCGGTTTAAAGTTTGTTTTTTCAAGCACAAGTAAAATCTCTAAAAGAGTGGAAGACCCAGATGCGTTATCGACAAGACCAGGACCAGCGGGAACAGAGTCTAAATGCGCGCCGAAAACTAGAGTATTTTCTTTATGTCCGCCATCTTTTAATGAACAAATGACATTGTATGTATCAACTATAGAGATCTTTGTGTATGTTTGCAGATCGATTCTTTTATCTTTTGAGAAGGCAAGCAATTGTCCAAGAGAGAAAGATGCAGCCAAAACTGGTATTGTCATTATTGGATCTGTAAAGAGTCAAGTTTGCAATCAGTTAGCTGATATAAATTTATAGTATTTAAACATTTACCTCCTTCCTTCCAATCTACAATTCGAACGCGATTAAATAAAAGCTTTTTTCTCGATGCTGAATTATAAAATATTACCGCCGAAGCACCTTCCTTTTTAATTAATAAAATTAATTTATATTATTAAATGAATACATATTATTTTATGAATATTTAATTTACCAATTCGGCTTTATAAGCTAAATTCCAGAATTCACATTTTCCATCTTCCTGAATCAAAACAATTTTATCTTCCACGTCTCCCCATCCTTTACCATCACATCCATTCGGCGTAACAACAATTTTCTGATTTGTAAGATTGGCTGCTTGTCCACCATATCTCATACCTTTCAATGAATAAATCATCAGAAAAATAAAGTAATTTTCAAAAATTAGAGGAAAAACACTCACTCCAAAAATCTACGCCTCCCTGATATATTACAGTTTGTTTAGCATCATCGTCATCAAGGAATGTGACATTCAATTCTGCCTCACGAAATTTCTCCCAAATAGGAACTTTGAAATATTGTAATTGAATCTCACATCTGGTTTTATTTGTCAATAACGATGTAATATATTGCGCCGATGCATTATATCCTGTGGTAATCGATCGTGACGGTCTAGGATTATCGGAGTCAATTGCGAAATTCTCTTCGTCGTCGTGATCAAAAGTTGTAAGTTCAGCAACGGATGATGCCTTTTTTATCGATGAATCATTACGATCATAGTTCTGCGCAATAAGATAAAATTTGTTTAAATGCTCGAATATATTTTTGGTAATTTGCTTCGGTGACACAATGTCTTCATGCGTGTCTTCAGCTAAAAAACAATACTTTTTAATTTGAATCGCGAATAAAACAACAAAAATTACACAATAGCAACTCACTATGATTGTGAGGCAAAAATATAAAGCTCAACAACATAATCGTGATAAATATTAGTAATGCTAGTACTCCGCGCGGGATATTTAGACATTTTCGATTAGGAATTCGTGCATTTGCATTTTCTTCATCGATTTGGGTAGCTTCAGAAGTGAAAGATAAATAATCATAATCATAGTCGTAGCGTGCACTAAAAATAAAATGTCTTCGCTTACCATTAGTGTTATTACCAAGAAGTGGTGTTTGTTCTAAAGTGTTAGAAGCCATTTCACTTTTTTTTATGTACATGTACTTTACTTGTACAATAATGGTAATAATATCTTAAGGAAAATACAAAGCAAGAAGTAGATGATCAAGTAACACACAATACATGTACACCCCTAATACAAAATTTGGTGGTACATGTACGTTTTTGAAAACTTCCAAAAAGCGATAGCGATAGGCGAAAATGGTTAACGTTAACGTTAGTAATATGACAAATAGTTGCTGGTGGTTGCACGATTAATTTAGGCTGATTTGGATCCGCGTCTAAAGACTGCAAAATTTTATATATCGATATACTTGATAGATTAATACTAAAGCATTTGATAAAATAATTACAGTTGCTCCTCATAAAACTTCTGCAAAAAAAATGTTCTTATAGAGATGATGTTCTTATAAAAAAATAAATATTTAAAACAGGGACGAACACCGCTTGTGGTTTAAAATTGAAATTGCTACAAACAAAACAAAAATGCCCGATTACATATGTACATGCCGTAGAAACTATTTTTCGGAAAAAAGATGTTTTATATTACGTAATGGAGTTTTACCGACAGCCTAATGCTAACGCTAATCTCCGATACATTGAACAAAGAAAATTAATTTGATTGGATAATCGATATCGATACACAACAATTAATACATCGATAGAAAAAAAGATACATGTATAAAGACATGTAAATTTTCGTAGTAAATGATTAAAAATGGGTTGTTGTTGCTCTAAAAATAATTACGAAGAAGATGGTCACATCAGGTTTCGTGTTATTGATGGTCGACGATATCATAATATCTCGAATTCAGAATATTTTGTAGCTAATGATGGCGAGGAGGCCGATCGCTTAAGGCGATATCATGATGGTTGGTTAAACTTTTATTTGAAGAAAAAGAGTTTCTTTTCGAATATGATACAGTTTATGTTTTGTTGCTTTATGCATTTTAAGCTTTAAAAACTATCTGGGGAGGATTGTTTCATTCACCAATCGAGGAAAAGTTGAAAAAAGGGGCTCGGGTTATTGACCTTGGGTATGTTTTGCTTTTTAGTTTTATTTACAAGGAAACATAAAACTAAATGATTTCAATACTTTATTTTTAGTTGTGGAACAGGAACTTGGCTTTTGGTACTCATCTAAGTTTATAAAAAAGATATAAATGCTGTGTTTAATTTTTCTCAATAAAATTTTAGGATATGTCAAGGCATTATCCCAAATCGCATTTTATAGGAATAGATTTCTCCCCAATCTTTCCGACAGAAAATCTCCCTCCAAATGTAGAATTTATCCAATACAACATTCTCGATGGACTTCCTTTTACGGATTCAAATTTTGATTTCGTCCACCAAAAATTCATGGTAGCGGCATTTACACAAGCACAATGGAAAGAAAAAGTTATTCCGGAATGTTTACGGTTAACTCGACCTGGCGGATGGATAGAGTTTGTTGAATCAGACGCAATACTTATGTCGGATGGAAATGCTACACAACGAATCGCAAATGCTAGTAGGTAGATATTTGAATGTTAAGATAACACGATTAAATGTCTTTGAATTGAAGTTTTCGTTTTTATTTAATTTTAAATATTTTGGTTAGTTCAAAGTTTTATGTCGTCGAAAGGACTGAACCATAAAATTGGCGAGGATATTCCGCGTCTTTTAGAAATCACAGATGCATTCACGGAAATTAGAAATAAAAAAAAACCTGTCACTTTAGGCAAAAAAGGTGGTAGACCTGGCCAAGAGGTAAATTTTAGCTTATCAATCCTCCATATAATCACACAGTCGATATCGATATGAATTATTTTCAATAGTGTGATTATAAAGAGATTGTGACTATATAGAAAAAATGATGGTGTGATTGTGTGTGACTATCTGGAGAGTTGACTTGACTGTATTCGTTACAAAACGTGCTTTAAATTTAATCTTTCTTTCTAATTTGCCTACATATAAAGACGCTAATTTTCCTTACTAGAGGCATGAACACCATTAGAGTCTGGCTATCTGGCGCGATGAATATAATGCCTGAACATTACGATGCGCTGGTCGAAGCAATATCCTTTGAGGCAGAAAAGACTCATACTTATGTAAATCAATATAGAATCTGTGGTCGTAAAAAAGATCGCATTTAATTAGATCAAACTTTATTAATTTAGGAATGCCATAATACGTAGTTACTTTGATACAAAATTTGAACATGTAAATGTTGAAACTTAAGTAATGCTTCACATTATTCAATTTATCGTTATACTAGTTTCTCAAATACGTAAACTAGACTCCATATTTATATTAGATCTGCAACATATCCATTTCCGTACCTTTACTAAAGCAAGTTACAGAGGATATAAAAAGTAATCAATTGCATTCTTTATTTACTAAAAAAAATAAGATGATCGTTAGGAGTCTGAAAAATTACGTAATTGGAAAATCAATAAAACATAGCTCTAGACTTAAAATAGTTTCGATTAGTTAATAATCAGTCACGCAAGCATGAATTCAAGACTCCACGTGATTTCTGACATTCTCTTAGTGTTCTCGAATGATTTGAATTTGAAAGTGATCAAAAACCACACCAAACTGAAGATGCAAAGAGCTAATCCGGAACCAAATCGAAAAATACAGGTCAAGTTTCAGGTTGATCTGAAATTTAAGTGAATGTAGTGATATTTGATTAACTGGAAATCCTAGATACAGTCTATAATAAATTAACCAGATTTCTTAATAAAACTAGATGAACGAAATATATATAAATTATTATTATTAGTTCTAATTTAGTAATGTATAATATAATAATTTTTGATTTTTGATTTTTATTTAAATAAATCATATTATATGAAATATTAAAAAAAATATTAATATAGTTTTAAGTAAAAATAATAGAAATGAATTTGAATAAATAATTATTATTTTTAAATAAAATATTATATATTCTCAAAATTAAGATATAAATTATATTAATATACTTTTATTTATTAAATATCATAATATATAATTATATATTATTTTATAGAAAGAGATAAAAAAAATTATTAAAATATAGAAAAGATTATTAAAATATATAATCATTAAAATATGTTTTTTGATAATTTTTGATATGTTTCTAGTTACAATAAAAAAATAAAGTTTCAATTAGGATTAAATTTAGATTTAAAGTTAAAATTATATAATAAATAAAAATAATAAATATAATAAAATTTTGCAAGAAATATTTTTTGTTAGAATATAAATAGTTATTTTATAAGTAAAATTTCAAAATAAAAGCTCTTTCAAAAATAAATATTTGTTTTCAATTTTTTGTATTATATATTAATCCTGCAATTTAATTAGTATATAATTTTAAAAAAATAGGTTTGGATCAGAGATTACCAAAATATATAATTATTAGAATACATATTCAAATAATCTCTCATACATCCTGATGCTATAAAGAGAATAAAGTATAATTTGTATTCAATTTTTGATTCCAGGATAAAATATATAAGTATTAGCAACTATTAAAGATTGATTTTATTATTTAATTAAAGTAAAAGTTAGAGTGAAAAATAATAAGAATTATATAAATCTAAGCTATTCAAATATCTGAACCAGTATTTGAACATATTATATAATGTAAAAAGATAAATATTTTTTTATTATATATTTAAAACTAATAATATAAATTAATACAACCAAAATATAAATCTTTTATTCTTTAATTTTTAAGTATTCTATTATTTATAAGCTTATAAAGTTTTTTGATACTTATTTATTATTTTATTATTGATTTTATCAAACTTTTTACAAATTTTTTTCTTGTTTATATAATATTAATATAATCTCAAACTTTTTCTTATATATAATAAGTTTTCTATATTATTGTTACAATTATTTTCAATAATTCCGTAATTAACGAATCTTTTAAAAATAATAAAAAATATGAAAATCTTCAAAAATAGTAATAAAAACAACAAATCGATAAAAATAGTAT